GTTATGTGTGTGTCCTTGCAGGTGTCAGAGGAAATCAGAGGTGCCCAATGCTCCTGGGACTGAAGTTAGGAGCCACCTGACGTGGGTACTGGGAACAGAATTTGGGGCCTCTGTAAGTGCTCATTATTGCTGATTCATCTCTACCCCACAAGAAATTTTTTGTTGTTGTTGTTTTGGATTTTTTTTTTTTTTTTGAAACAGGGTTTCTCTGTAGCTTTGGAGGTTGTCCTGTAACTCTCTCTGTAGACTAGGCTGGCCTTGAACTCACAGAGATCCTCCTATCTCTGCCTCCTGAGTGCTAGGATTAAAGGTATACGCCACCATACCTGCCCCACCTTTGCCATCCTTTAAAAGCATCCAGTCCATTATGCCAAAATCCAACAGACAGACAGACAGACACACACACACACACACTTGACTTATTATTTATTTTGATGCATATAAGCACTTTGCCTATATTCCTCTTTGTGTACCACTTATGTGCCTGATGCTCACATAGGTCAGAAAAAGACATCAGATTTCTGTGTAACAGCCATGGCTGTCAGGAACTCACTCTATAGACTAGGCTGGCATTGAACTCAGATCCACCTACCTTTGCCTCACAAGTGCTGTGACTTAAGGCATGGACCACCACTGCCCAGCTCCATAGATAGAGAGATAGATAGATAGACAGACAGACAGACAGACAGACAGACTGACTGGGTGCCTTGCTGGTCACTTGCTACAAGTGACCAATCCTATTACTTAGGAGTGAAAGGAGGAGGGTTAGGAGTTTGAGGCCAGCCTGGGCTACACGAAGCCCTGTCTCAAACAAGCAAGCCAACAAACAAAAATTGTTGATGGGGATACATGCTGTGAAGAGATGAGGCAGAGGGAGGGTGCATTTTATGTAGGTGAGGGAAACCTGAGGCGTAGGGTATTTGAATAAGGAAGTGAACTGCAGAGGGCTCTGGGAGAAGAAAGGGTCAGGCAGGAGAGGAGCAACTGCAAAGGCTAGACAGTGACATGCAAGTAT